CATTGTCATGTTCATCAAATGCTTCCGCAAATACCTCCAAAAAGGTTTCAAAGTTATTTAGCATGGACGATCGTTTCTCAAACAAAGGAGCAAACCATGATAGAGCTTGTCCTGTAAGTAAGGTTCCAACAAGCCCAACACGTGACTCCTCCGTTGGATAGCGTTCGAGCTGTAAAACTATTATCAACCTGATTTGGTTGACGAATCCTCGAAACTTGGAATGTGTACCATCGAACTTGTCCGAAAGGCTAACTCGGGGCTCCTTATGTTGTAGAACCAGCGGTGCTTGTCGAACCTGAGGCAAAGTTGTTTCTCCAAGTGCAGAAGTTTGAGGCTGGTGCAACCTAGATTGTGCCATCCTAGATGCTCCATCATTATGAAGCCTTGCCACGACTCCTTCAATCTCTACAGTTCTTTGCGATAACGTAGCGAGGGCATTCATGATAGCATCCAACTTGGACTCCGAACTTTCCGTCATACTAATGACTTGACCTCCAACCATTCTAAGAGAAGGACAGAAATGATTCTACAAGAAGACAATATTGGTTTAGAGGAGGGTACTCCGCAACCTCTAAAATGCCTTAAGAGCTTCAAGAAAAGGGATAATCCACTCTCTCCAAGAAGAATAAGACTCCAATATTGTAACAAAAGAAGTATCAGTTTAGAGGGTAATCCGCAACCTCTAAAATACTAGTACACTTCCAAGTAGAGGGGTAATCCACACTCTAACAAAGAAGAAACTAGCTCTGATATCTGAGGTGAGTGGAGTCTCGACAAACTGTCACAGACACAGAAATACAGGCTCGAGATCTAACAAGAAGTTCAAGAAGAACTAGCAAGAACTAGATTAATCAGATGAGAACAACACCAGAGAGGTGAGCTAGAGCTCCAACAGATGTGTTGTCGAGACTGAAGAACTCTTCAGCCTCGATTCTAATATATATTTCTATTTAGGAAGCTTCTCAAGAAACTTCTACCAACTATGAAGCTTCTAGAAAATTCCAGAGACTTGCTTCTAGAAGGTTCTAGAAACTTATCTCTAGAAGGTTCTAAGGACTATTTCCCTAACATCTTCTACCAACTAAGAAGCTTCTAGAAGGTTCCAGAGACTTGCTTCTAGAAGGTTCTAGAAACTTGTCTCTAGAAGGTTCTAAGGATTATGTCCCTAACAGTAATCCACTCTTAATCAAGACAAGACAAAGCTTTGATATTGTAAGTGTACTCTTGTCAATTTGTCAAGCACATGAACTAAAAAATGATGCATAAATCAATAAAATTTGTATCAAAGAAAGACTATCAAAATAGAAATAAGGAAGTATGTATATTAAAAAAAAACTAGAATGTCTTATTGCCAAAAGACAAAGAAACTTGAGACTCTTGAAAGTAGATTAGAAGCAAGAAAGGAGTTGACAAGAGTAAAGAGAGCTTCACTCTTATCTCTTTATATACTATTTAACTAGGGGCTATATGACAATATTCTATAGGACCTCCAATATATATTGACTTTGTATGATACATGCCTTGACTTACAAGGCAAGTTTTTCTATGTGTGGGCCACATAGTTAGCTTTTTCTTCAAGGTAACAATATATGTGGCACATGGCCAACTTATTGACCACTTTTTTAATCCAAAAAAGTCAATTATAGATACCTATAAAATCAAAGCAATATCTATGAAGCTTCTAGGAAGCTTCTATAGAAGATATTATAGTATTAACTTACTTTTATCTACTTCTACTTACTTCTATTTATTCATACAAGTAATTACTAGCTTATATGTGTATGTCCATGACACTTTGAAAAGCTCTTTTAAAGTCATTACAAATTCAAATCATCCAAATGCAAGAAGAAAACAAATTCTAGCAAGTTTTTTCTTAAATCCTACTCCCCTATCAACAAAATAATTCCAAAATTGTAATAGGTGTGTGGTTTTGTGCCTCAAGGTCTAATTTCTACCTAGATTCATAACTAGTCTTCTTTGTATATCAACATCTAATATTTTTAGGTAATTTTTGCTACTAGCTACTATTTAATTCTACCTTAAAATTTTCATGATACTAATTTTTTAATCTACCTTATATTATCTTTTTTATGGCCTTATAAAATAAGTAGAAGTCTTTACTACTAAAAGACAATAATAGCACTTATCAATTTCACTAATTTCTTAATTATTATCTATATTTTTTAAATAATTGGTTGATACATTTTGAAATAAGATCTTCTAAAATATATTCTTTTTTTTTTCTTTCAACTAATAACTTTATTATAATAAAATATTATATTTATTTTTTATTATTTATATAATTTTAATAATATTTTATTTATTTTCTATAATTTCTAGCGATATATGTAGTAAGTTAACACTAAGATTTTATATATATATATATATATATATATATATATATATAATATCTTTATTCTTGATTTTTTGTATAAAAAAATTATTAGTAAATAAAATATTATAGTTGTATAAAATAAATCATAATTAATGAACTTTATAGTATTATATTCAAATTCACATCCATATTTTTTTAAGTTGTCTTTAGAATGGCATAATGATTCCAAATTTATGGATTAAGCCACTTAAATTGGTATAAGAGAAATTACTTAGATTTAAATTTCTTATTTTTTTTGAAAAGACATTTCATTGGTATCATAGTTGCCAAATTTTGGTGGCTAAGATTTGTTTGGAATAACCATAGTTGTGCTATCTACTGCTGAAGATAATTCAAAGATAAGGTTATGTATCACCTTAGTTGAAAGAATTTCTATCTTACACATGGATAGATTCTATGCTTTTGACAAGCTTGTTTTGTTTCTTGCAACCATTAGTTGAATTACTTATTATGGGAAATGATCAGTTCTTGAGATTTAATCTATTTGATTGAAGATAATTGTAATTTTTACCATTGCTACTTTTGTACATTTTGATTTTAAAAATTCAATTGCTTGTCTAATGGCTACATTGCCAAATATTATTAGTATTGTTTCTTCTTTGTCTCATTTTTTAGAATAATATTTGCAAATGATCAAATAATATTTGATTGTTGATGTATCAACATAGATGACTTTTGATACCAATTCTTAGCATCTTTATCTTATTACATATGTTCAGCGTATTGTTTAGCCCTCTAATATTTATATTAGACAAAGATAAAACTTTCTATATTTACAAAATTATTTTTTTATAAAGTCAAAATTAACAAAGGAGACTTAATTGAAAATATAAATATATTGTTGTTTTTAGTCAAAGAAGACTTCGACTTGCTATGCTTTAAAATTCGCCCAAAAATTTCTTTGGTAGAATAAAGTATGGTATTCCCTTTGAATTAATAAGTACCTCATGATCCTTAATTATATAATTGATAGCTATACAAAAGTGACACCATATTAGCAACTTTAAGTAGTCAATAAAAACAATCTTCATGATACTAGTTACAAGATTTTCAACTATGATCTTAAGCTCCTATGGCTCTTTTAAATCAATAGCAATACAAAAAAAATTATTCAAAGGAATGTTAATTTTTTAGACCACTATCTAAGTTTTTGTCTAATCCTTTTATAATTTGTAAAGCAATGGAAAAAAAATAAAAAAATATTTTTTTAAGTATAATCTAAGATAGAATTTTAAAAGAAATATTTTAACTATATATATATATTTATATATATATATTTATATATATATTTATATATATATATATTTATATTTATATATATGTTTGAGATTTAAAATTGCTCTAGGATCAAAATAAAAATTCCAAGTTTAAAACATACAAAAGCTAAGGTTGGATTTATATGATGATAAGATTAAAATCTAACAAGTGTCTTATTTGGAGTTGGTTTGTAAACATAAATAATCCTATCTTAGATTCTTACCAAGTAATATAATACCATCTATGATCTTTATAAGGATGTCCTTTCAAAATTCAAGACCAAATAATGTATATTTTTATATATTTTTATTCATTTATTTATGTATATATATATATATATATATATATATATAATATTTAATAATCACTTTTAATAACAAGGTTAAAAGTATGATTTTTCAATGCAACCAAAGCTGTAAATGTAGTCAAAGTTTAGACAAAAATCCTAGCACAATGCCTCATTATGTTGCTATGCCTCTTCTCTTAATTTTGATATTTTTAAAAAATATATTGATTTGAATATCAAAGGTATGTTCTATTAGACTTTTGAATTAAGTTTTTAAAAAATACTTTGAATTTGAAAAATCTACTTTATATGAATATAATATCAACCAAGGTTTGTTTGAAAAGATTTATAAATTATAAATCTAAACACTCAAATTTATACTTATAATTTTTTTAAGTAATTTATTAACATTATTTATGTTGAATAATTTTAGTTTAAAAATTAAATAGAAAAATTAAATATAAAATTAACACAAGCAAAGTACATCGTTAATTGTGTTCATATTTTAAAAAGAATTTTAGTTTAGATTACGTCTTTATGTTTATTTTAAATAGATATGTTGAATATTTTAGTTATTTAAAATAATTTTTTAAAAATTTAGATTAGTAATCTGGTTATCAAAATAACTGGACCAAAATTTTAATATATATATATATATATATATATATATATATATATATTTAAAACCTACATTTTTCACAAAATTGTATGTTTTAAATGTAGCCGAATTTTATTTGTATTTTGAAGAACTTAGACTAGAAATGATAAATTCACAGTAATTGGAAGCGTTATTTTTTAATGTTGGTCTTAAAATCGATAATAATTTATAAACTGAAGCGTTACTCCACTTTTAACTGTGCACCTCAGTACCGTGGGTTTTCCCTGGAGGTGGCGAGATCGAAGCCCGGTGACAACAGATGTGGTTCGCTCGCAGGAGGGGTGACCACTTTTTACATTACATCCTACAATCGTGAATTTCAACTGGGACGTGCCGAGATCGAAGCCCGATGACAACAGATGTCGTGTTTTCGTGAGCGTCGCTTGCCCTGACCACGGCATTGTGGGTCTACTTTTACATCGACAAATGTTCCGAGCCGAGACTCGCAAACCATCTCGAACTTATCGTCTCCAGGGACCATCTGCAACAAGCTTGGAGTGATTCTAGCTTGTCTGCCTCGGATCTCCGCGTTTGCCCTCGGTGCTGCTGCTTCCACGCCTCCAGGTATCCTCCCCCCTCAACCCATTGACCGTTCCATCTTGGGCCTAACCGCCGCAAACTGCAATCCCTAACTTATCTTGCGGTTGCTGCTTCTTTAGAATTTCGAAGTATTGTCGCAGGAAGTTGAGTTTCGGGTCTTGTGTTTTCCGCCTGTTGCGGTATGTAGTCAGCTCTGGGTTTGACACATCGGAAGGCGGATATCAGTTGTCTGTTTTTATTGTGGGGTATTGTCGGGGGGGGGGGGGGGGGGGGGGGGGTCTTCTCGGTTCGGTGTGTTGAGCGAGTGGGTACATAGAAGCTTGCGAATGAAAGTTAAGGCGAGGATAGGTATGGTAGGGTTCGTCTACTGTTGGTAAGAAACTCCCAGGGTATCGTTCTATGCGTTTTGTTGATGTGAGGTACTTATACGAAGATTGATCGGTGATCTTTGTCTATGCCCTCTTCGTTTTGTGTAGCGCTAAGCAGTTTCAGATATGGCGGCTCCTGCTACCAACCTTAGGAAGCCGGTGTTCGTGAAAGTTGATCAGCTGCGCCCGGGAACGTCAGGGCATACTTTGACGGTCAAGGTGGTGAGTTCGAAGCTGGTTTTGCAGAAGGCACGGCCAGATGGCAACCAGGTCCGGCAGGTGCGGATTGCCGAGTGTCTTGTCGGAGACGAGACGGGAGTCATCGTCTTTACCGCCAGGAACGAGCAAGTCGACCTGATGAAGGAAGGGATGAAACTGATCTTGCGGAACGCAAAGATCGACATGTTTAAAGGCTCCATGCGGTTGGCCGTCGACAAGTGGGGAAGAGTTGAGCCAGCACCCGATGCGGAAGATTTTGTTGTGAAGGAGGACAATAACTTCTCGCTTGTGGAGTACGAGCTTGTGAATGTCATCGACGAATAGATCAACTGTTACCTCGTTCAGATACCGCGGTAGCTAAAGCCTCACGGAAATTCCTCGCTCACCGCACGTCAGCATCTGAGACATAAGGAGGAATATCGTTTTTCAGTTACATCATATCAGGGAATGCGAGAGGTTCTTTTACCTTCTGATTATCTATAGTGTGGAGCGCCAACAAAAACTCCCCCAACTCTAACGATTTTGAAGTGTGTCCTGTGAATCTCCCCAGATAAAGTTCTTGAGTATCAAATCAACAATCAACATAAATTGTCTTGGCGAGTATGTTGGGGTAAGTTTTCAACGTCAATCATCAAGTTCCGGATCGGACTCTGTTGCTGTTGAACTATTTGCATCCTAAAACTGCCTAGATCTATGTTGTCGTAACGCCCAAGTATGTCGGAGGTTCTAGCACTCCCATGATCTGCAAGGCAATTGGCCCTCCAGTGTGAAACCAGGGTCCGGATAATCATTTTGTTGGCTGAGCCTTCCCGGGCGCTCTGTGTCCTGTCCTCATCTCCGCAGCCGCTGGTTTAGGATTTGTTGCATTTTTTGTTGCGTCGTGGCGCTTATATGATGTAACGGTTCTGTTGAAATATAATGCAAAGGTATAGTTTGGCCATGTCTCTTGGGCTTTTACATCAGTAAAGGCATGGCTTCTACAATGAATGACAAAATATTTCTGATGTTACCTGTGATCTACTTCAGGCTTGTGTAACTGGTCGTCTACTTGTGTGGCCTTTCTTAGGTAATTGAGAGAAATGTTTGAAGTGATTTGGAGAGGTAAGAAGTTGAATTACTTCAACTAGGAGAAGTAGTTTTGATACATCCCGTCAAAGTACCTTGAAGACCTTTTCCATTTCGATCTGTGTGAACTGCTGATGTGATTTGTGGAAGGAAACCGTGATATTCCATTGCCGACGTTACCTGTCTCACGATTCGGATGATTTCTAGGATTATGTTGTGACTGAAGTGTAGCAGACTTAAGGTTTTCCACAACTGACGAAGTATTCCTGCAGCAATATTGGTTCGTGACAGCTGCACTTCTGTGGTTAACAAATTTCGTCAGGCTCTGGTATTTTTGCAGGGTCACACTTTGGTTTTAGAAGATGATACGCGACTGAGTCTTGCTCACACATGCATTGTTTAAGCATCGTATTTGTTGTATGCCTTCAGTGGGTTATTCCAGTTTTGCATTTGTCGCAGGTTTGTCTAAAATCTAGTTTATGTATTTGGATTTTTCTTTTTACTTAGTATTTTGCAATGAAATACAAATTGAAATAAATATTTTTGAACATTTGACAAAGTTGTGGAGGTTGTAATGAATTGTAGCCCTATGAAATGCTCTGGTAATAATCAGCATTCTCCTCTTAGATATGGTTTTTTATTATGCCTTTTGTCACTTTTGGGTTGATCTTGTGCAATTGGTTTACTTTTTCCTGTTTTTTTTTTTTTTTTTTTTTTTTTTTTTGGGGGGGAGGGGGAGTCCTGAAGGTCACATCTATTAGTAACGTAAATATATTTTAAATAAAACTCAATTCATTAAACAATACGTTGTTTAAATACGTAAACCCATATTACTTTTAAATGAATTGTAATAGAAAGAAAACACAAAAAACTAAATCTCATCTTTTTCCAGTTAGGTACATATACATCTTTTTGAGAATTAATTCTAGCTGTGCCACTTCGATTCAATTAGCATTATTAATCTACAATAATATTAAACTTTGGAGCTAACTATTTACCAATATATATGTACAAGTGTATAATTAGCATAAATACACAATTGTCATTCAACAAACTTCATCAAAATTTGGTAGTATTGAACTTAAACACCTCATTTCAAAGAGATTAATAACCTCAACATAGTCTAGGAACTATGTTTAAATCTAATTAGTTTCTCATTCAATTTTGGTGTGTATAAATAGTATTAGATTCATATTTATCTTTTAATTAAAATGACATATTGGTTAGACCAAGAGCTCACATGGAAGAAATGTTAATGTGGCTTATATGGCACAAAGGATTGACAATCAATGTATGAAGGGCTAAAACTAATTTAAGCACTTATGCTTATTTTCCTTATTGAAGCCTTTACATTTGAATCAAATTTATACAGGTTATAAGAGTGTCCACAAACAAGATAGATATGAAATTGAGTAACAATTTTGCTATACAAGTTGACATCTAGTCCAAGGCAGTGGAGATCTTTGAAGGACTTTTCCTTGAAACAAAGAATTTCAAAAGAAAAGTTCTACTCAAATTTAACCAATTTAAGATAGTATGGTCCCTGCTACGAACAAAATAGAGAATATGAACAAGGGAATTTGTTTTGATGAGAAGCCTTGACATGCCCCAGATGGCCAAGGGTAGTCTAGAAATGAATGTAGACATGAACATTTGATGAAACTGAAGAATTCCTCAACGTGGGCTAATTGTGCACATAGTTAGGAATATTCTGTTTTGTGTGAAAACAATACACAAACCATTTCAACATGAAATTGAACCTAAATTTCTTACACTCGCCTCTTTTCAACACTTGCTACATTTTCTTCGAATATGAAATGTGATTTTATTATTAATAATATTATTATTATTTTACAAAATCTTAGCATTCTAAAACTCTCTACAGGGCTGGTTTTGAATAGAGAGACAAATGGGGAAACTAGTCCGTTGATCAGAAGATTTCATAAGCTTTAAATAAGCAACCCAAGTGGTAGAATTCGAGAGACAAAACTACCACTAACCTAGATAGAAAAATTTCCACTACTGGTGGGAATTCAATGTCACTGATGCCAACGGGTGGGAACAAAGTCCCCATCAAGCCCCCACTTCCTACCATCACTTCCAGGACGTGGGAACGGACCGGGGAACGTGAGAACGTGGGGGGGGGGGGTGAGGCAAACATAAAACCCCCCTCCCTTCTTCCGCATTAGTAAAGATCTCCCATCAATTTCCTTGTCTGGAGAGTATTAATACGGTGTGGTTCCTAATACAGATTTTTATCATAATTCGTAAAACAACAACGGTTTCAGTTGAGCCTCCTTATAATTCAATCCACAGGTCAATGCCACATATTATTTATTTTTTGGGTTTTTAAAAGCCAAACGATTACAAAAGTATGGCAAATCCTAATTGTCTATCAAAGAAGGTGAAAAGGAGACAGTCAAAATTAATAGGAATTGCGAAAGTAAGAGTTTAAAGCGATGGAGCACCTGATCCTAATGGGTAGTTTTTGGCAGTTGACTCACATATGCCCGGCTCACCAACTAGATATTATAACATCCTCGAGAGGCTGGGAAATGGGGCGCGAAACAAGGAGCGAAATCAAACAGTAGACGGGTTGGAACAGCCATGGGGTTTCATGGATCTATTTTGGGCGACCGTGCTGAGAGGGACGACCCAGAAACGGAAAGATTCATGTGCCAGCAGGGCTTTACCCGCCAGTACATGTCCACCGAGAATACGACACGTGGGAGCTTCCACAGCAGGCCCCTCTCAAAGTGAAGTTACAAATAGGGCTTCATTAATTACCTCACTCTCCCATTTCCAGCCGCACTCCCCCCACGTATCCATTTGGTCGCTCTCGTCACCTCTTTTTAAGTCCCTCCAGTGTATGGCCAACGGTGTATGGTCATGACACGGGGAGGGGGGGGCCTATCACCATGTCCTAACCTCACGTCGCCATTCTCCCCCCATTACTTGGGGGTGTGGGGAGCGAAAACGTAGTGTGTACAGTCAGCCTGTTGACCTAAACTGTGTCACACTTCTCACAGATGAAAGTGGGAGCTATGGTGCCCGCCCACTACACCTAAACCAACGAATTGAACCAGAAAAAAGTGGGTTCCCTGATTGTTCCCTAATTGTTCCCGATTGTTCTCATGAGTTCTTAGCACAACATTCTGCAAATTTGGAATACAGGTGGTGTTTTTCCCTGAACTGTAAGGTTTTTTGTTGGACTTGGGGACCGCTTTGAGCTGCCTTAGTGTCACCATGCTGAAATTCACACTCAAGGAACCGAAAAATTTTACTGGAAGTAAAGTTTGGAAATCAAAAGTTCTAGCCAAATTGTCCATACTTTAAACAACATCTTTTAATTCTGCTTCCCAGTTGTGGTTCCCAGTGTTCATCTTCTCGTGGACAACCTCCAAGAGAATAGCAGCAACAACACACGGAGTGTGAATGACTGTGGGGGTTCTTTAAGTAACACAGAGCAAAGTTTTTTTTGCAGAGAGAGCCATGAACATATAAAAAGACTCTCACTTTATTTGGTTCATGAGGGTGGTCAAGCTGCATGATTGGGCACATTATTTAGGAGAACAAAACAAGTCTCATGCTTGTCTTTCACCATCCTCAAACCTTATTCAAATTAATCCCTTAACTTATTTGTTGGCAGCAAATTAATTGTCCGGTATTGTAGAATAAAATCCACTGTGAATTACACACACTCACAAATTAGTTGTGTGTTAGTGGTGTTAACCTACAATTCCACCCTCTCGTATCTTGACTTTCCACTAAAATCACTTATCTCATTCTGAAACAAAATTACAAGGAGTTCATGTTTATATATATATATATATATATATATAAACATATATATATCAATAAAATTAGTTTTTTGACATTGATAAATTCAGACAATTGATGTTAAAAGTCAAAAGTAAAATACTTTAAGATTAACATATAAAAGATTCCACAAATATATGCACTCTATATAGAATCTGTGGGATATTTTGTACGTTAATTTCCCGAGTTTAGTATTGTATAGAAATATCAAACCCTATTCATTGTAGTTTTAAAATTAAAAACCAAGCTAACATACTTTGATTTCTGCAGTTGGTTCCATTGTTGACAAATGTATTCAGCGTTTGTAATTGTAGGCATTGAATGGCTCCTAACTTATTTATGATTGGCAGGTTTTTTGTTCTGTTTTTGTGTGTTTATTATTATTGTTATTCATACAACAACACTGATGTATGCAGTGGTGAGACATTACACAACACGATTTTATAAAATTACATCCTGACATAAATTCTGACACTCTTGAAACTTGTAATACATCACTTTTCCTACACCCCCTACTAAAATGCAGAGTTCATCAACAAACACTGCAGTCTAGTTCCAAAACCATGGTAAAACAAGTACTCAAAACTTTATTTTTCTTAATAAGAATGTCTTGTGATTATTGTCTCTACCATGGAAAAAGTAAAGGGGAGAAAGAGAAAGAAAAAAAAAGTGTTTTTTTTTAAAAAAAATAATAGAAAATGACAATGAATGTACTCAAGTGCTACAGAGATAAATAAAAACCATTCCCAACCGCGTTTCTTTTTAGAGAAAAAATTCCCTCAATAACCATCATTTTCAAAGACAACGAAGGTCGTGGAGCCTATGATCGCAGTAGAGGGGGAGGGGGGGGGGGGGACGAGCGGGGGGGGGGCCCTAATTTAGGGCCAGGCCATGATTCCCACCCAAGTATCTCCGAAGCACCCAACTCGGTGGGCTGCTTCGTGGTGGTGCCTTCCCGTGCATGTTGAAGAGTGAGGGGGTGAAGCACGGGCCTGAGTTTCTATTCCCAGGGGGTGCGCGGGTCGCCCCCTCCCACCTGGCCCCCACCTCCCAAGCCCCCTCCGACCTACCAATCCCTCATCTCTCATCACTGGATTGCTGGTTCCACCCCTTGTCCACATCAGCCATTCCCACCCTACGTGGCTCGCCACCTGGAGAACCTGACGTTCCCCTGCGAGTACGAGCACGAGCATGTGACAAGGTTGGATTGTCAGTGTCGTTGCCATGTCAGATTATTTGTGTCACTATGTTATATTTGTCGTCAACTTACGTGATATTTTTGAAATCCCATATAATTAAAGGTAGTTTGAGTTTTTTTTCATATTTTTGTTACCTTCGAAATATAATCATCGCCACCCTTTGCACCCCAATTTCTCTTTTGGTAATAATTTTTAGTATGTTGGAGCAATTACACAAAACAATTTCAAATTCAACCCAACAATTTACATGCTCTTTGTTCCCCTATTCCACCAACCTCATGTTATTATTATTATTATTATTACTATTATTGTTGTTATTTTATTGCATGAATGCTTGCAATCATAATTGAATGCAAAAACATGCCATATATATATATATATATATATATATTGGTTGGTATTGTTTCAGAGGTGGTTGTAGACATTATAAGAAAATCATTATAAGTAATGAACAGGTATTCGCATATTTAAATCGAGTGTTTTCAGTTTTTTGTGAAAGTTATGTCACGTGATTGTATTTTAACTAGTTTTTAAAGTTTATGTGTTTTCAAAATACTAAAATGTTTGAATGATACATACACTCATATATTAATCAAACACTCTTTGTACATTGAATCTACTACAACCTAGTTAATAAGATGTCTCTTCCAAAGTATTTATGAAAATTAATCATAATAAAAGAACTACGATAGTTTTGTAATGTACAGGTATAATACTTTGTATTTTTAGCAAATTCCAAACATTTTAAAACAGTATCTTTTTCTGGCATGCAAATCCTGAATGTAAAATTGTTATTTGTTTCAGATTCAACAGTGCCTATTAGTTTTTTGTTCTAATTATTCTGTCAGTCCACACTAAAAATTTGGTAAAAACTTTAACATTCTATTTAAATGTTGTAAGTATACTAAACTCTAATACAATAATAATGAAGTATACTTATTCACTGTTAAATTCTATTTTTATACAATTATTACATTAACATAGTAACCACATATTTGACTAATTTCACTTTTTTATCACAGTATATTCTCATCCATATTTTATTAATCCGTATAATACCATCTTTACTGCAATGTGGACATATACAGAATTCTTTTGGGTTCTTAAACTTTATTGAAGAATATTTCTTTTTAAATGAACCAAGAAAGACTCATTGCAATTATAAACACATTTATCAACAAGTTTTTCTTAAATATTTGCCGACTAGAAAACATGACATTAAAGTTGATGATTAGTGCACATCTTTATCAGAGTAAAAGCCAAGTAAAGTTGTCCACTGCAACAAGTGGGCAAACTTTTCTATATTTATAAGATAAAACTCAAGTGTAAGAAAATGCAATACAGAAAGTATTACAGCTGCAAAGAAGACCATCAGTAGAAATGAACAGAATAAAACGCCTTTGAGTATCATGCACCCAAAAAAAAAAAAAAAAAAAAAAAAAAAACTTAACAATAATGTTGAAACGATGTATGAACTAGAACTCATTGAAAAAGCTCACACACATGTCACCACATATAGCAACCACATTAGACAGTTCACGTGTAACCTCCACTGGAGCAATAAAACTCAAACTATTCCCGTTCTTCACTTTAATTTCTGATTTCAACCATGAATCTGCATCACTTTTTAAACAGTAAAACAACGACCAATTAAAATACTGAGATTTTGGAGTTGTGTGTTATAGTGATGGGAATTCGGCTCACACTCTATTTTTAGACACCACAGAGGTAGAATGACATTAAAATGAATAAATAAAGCTACAAAACTTAAGCACAAGCTTCAGTTTTCTACAATGGCAGGGGCGAATGGGGAGCTCTCGCAGCTACGCTTGTGTATGCGCCGAAGCACCGAAATCACTGACCCACATTTCACATAATAGTTATGGTTGAGTGAGAATAATAAAAATAATTATAATTCTATTATTATTATTATTATTATTGTTGGAGGGTGGACGGGGGGTTAAAAAACCAGGGGGCAAGGGGCTTCATGTCCAAGAGCCCTGCATTTGTGCTTCTCCGCACGTCCTCTATTAATATCGCAGCTGGGCATCATGCGCATTTGCAGAGTAAAAAATCACAGGCCCCACGTACAAAGCCGCTTCTGAGGTATCGAGCCAGGTGGAATCCCGCTTAAGCGTGTATAACTAAGATTATATTAGATAACGTAGTAAGGTTCTTGCTTAGCATTGATTTCCGAGCGATGCCGTCCTTGAAATAAGAAGGCAATTCCAGCTGCGGTAGGGGAGCGAGCAAGAGAGAGAGAGAGAGTGTGTGAGTGAGAGATGTGGTCTTGCGGGTGGAGATGGGCCCGGGGATGCTGGACCGCCACGGATTCAGAAGAATAACTCCCATCCAGCCTTGTCCTTGATAGCTCAGCTGCTCTTGAATCGTCTCGTACCCTTCTCGTCTTCGCTGCCGTGCCGTTGTCGTTGCCTCGTCGACGCCATTTATCGCCCACGCTGTTGCGCATGGAGCTTTGGGTCGTGCGCGGGCTCATCATGCTCCGGGGGTGACTATATTAGGTTGCGCGATCATGGAAACTCTCCCATGGGAAGACGGGGATCCCCCGGATCATCAGCGTTGGGGAGTAGAAGAACGCGAAGTCGGAGCGATGGTTGCTGTTGTGCTCCTCGCTGCGAGCCGATCAGTGCCGATGGGCTCGATCGGGTGGGGCGCTTGTGATCGTGCCGGGGTGCTATCCACCTCTCAACGCGATGCACCGTGTCCAAGGGTAAGAGCGAGTTAGTCGGGGCTCAACAGTAGTGCCCCCAGTTGTTTGCAGTGGTGGGGTTGATCTCAGGCCGGGGAATTTAGTGACGCGGTGATCTGAATCCAACGAATCTAAAGTTCAGTGGCTGCACTGCAGTACTTTTCGGAAAAAAAGTTGTGGCTCAATTTGCCAGGTCTAGCTGCGCAGTGCGATGGTTTTCCAGGTTATTTATTTGTGTTATTTTCGAGTTGCCCAGTCTGATTGCTTGTGTGTAGGGGAAGTTAGCGTTGGTACGTGCCCTCTTTGACATACTGCAGGATTCACTGAGCGTCTCGAGGCATTCAACAGTCTAACGTGCAGGTGGAGTCCGTTTCTGGATTTGAAACGGAGTGATCGTCGTCTTGGCTTCGGTAGTGTCGGTTCTCCGTCTTATTATTGTGCTGTGTAACCTTTGTGGACAGTTCCGTGTCAGCGAAACGCCAGGATGGGAGCATGAAGCTCACAGCGGTAGCGCTCCTCACTGCGGCGTCGTGGAGGTGGGCTCTCTCGAGCGAATGCAACTGGACCTGGGCTTGACTGACACCATCAAGTATGCCTCTTATTCGAAGATTTGGCGAATGTTGTAAGTGAATGGGTTAACACTTCATCCCTCAACCCTCGTGGTGTCGGTATTTTAGTGAAACCGCATCATAAACTAGACCGTACGTGTGCAGACGATGAGACGTAATGAATCATTCAGAGTCCCGGAGCACGTACTAGTTTCTAGGTTCTTCGCGGATTCAGGACACTGTACTCATTGTGTCGTGGAAACTGTGGATCAGATATTTCGTAAACGACGCGCCGTTTCGTATACGCAACTGCCTAAGGATTGCAGAATTGTGCCGGAGCACGTCACCGTCTGGTGCCCTTGGGATTGCTTAACATTTGACTGGTTACACGGAACTCTCTCTACAAAGTTCAATGCCAGCTTTCAGGGAGCAGTGTGGACTGGATGCATCTACAACAATCTCCGGCCCGACCTCCACTCATTTTCTCCGTAAAACCCATCTTTCAGTAATTCATTCATTAACCAGGCTGCTCGGTGGCAATCAGGATGAGAACCTGGAAGAAACTTGCTGTCTAAAGCTGCGGCATAGGCTTCTCCCAGAGGCTGTTTATGATCACCCGGGCGGCCGAACCTTAACTGCCTACTGATTCTATGGTGAGGACTGCGATGAGAAACTCCACCCTCTACCCATATGCAATGCAGTACAGATCCCAAGATAGAGTCCCACAATCCACACATTCAAGATTTTCAGCACTAGGTCTGTAATCAGTTTTGCTGCGTAATCATTCTGCCTTTTCCCCCTCCCTACGGATATCCATTACGCTCCCCCTTAGCGTCAATGCACTTTGTAGTGTGGGGTTTTAGATAAGGTAGCCGTGAATCATGCGGGGCAATTTGATCACCAGGAGCGTGAGGCTGATTACCGTGCTAGTGCATCCCATTTAACACCGTAAGCGGCATTCATCATGCAGCCGCCATTCACTTGTAGAGTGCAGTATCAATCCCAAGATTTTTCGATATGGGGAGGTTTAGTATCCTCCAAATCCAGTATCACTGGGGCTAACGTAGTTAATTAAACCTAAATTTATTCTAAAAACGTCTTACTGTTCTCCGGCCTCATTTCTTACCTCTTCATTTCAATAAACAATCGCTCAACACTCTCTCTGATCACGTCACCTACCGTTTCCATTAGCTCTACAAGGCGATTTCGTCGTAGAAGTATATGCGTTGGAGTGAGCATGGAGTAGAAAAATGGTGGAACAGTACTCCTTCATAATGACTAGTCCTGTATGATGAAACTTTTGCAGTGTGCTCTGAGATATAAAACAGGCAATGTAAGTCTCTCCATGCACTGCACATGAAATCTCTGCCGGACTAGGCGTCGGGTGAGGTGGAGAAAACTGCCTATTTGTTATTTCTGTCATGTGGTGTTCACATCGTGGTCTCCCAGAAAACATCTGCAAAATCTGCAGAAGTTAATTGACTGGTGATAACTCATCCTAACCGAAATAATACTCTTACAGTTACGCACCAGTCTATGTATTTGAGTTCAACAGTAGAATGTTGGAAAAACTTGTAGTACTGCATTCAATCTATTAATGAAAACTGCAAATTTAGATGTCGACTTATTTTTTTAAGGTCCTGTAAATTATCTGACTGTAGAAAAGCAGGGACTTGTTTTTCATTGAGTACATAATTTGCAACAAACCACCATCTGGGGATGAGCGTGGTTGTTATTCCAGATCAACAAAATCTGCTGAAGCTTCCAAGAGAGCTAAACCTCCGGCTAAAGGTTTTCCTGTCCATTAGAACTTCAAGCCTAGTGTTGAACTTTATCAGACCAAATGCTATGAGTTCAGTCCATTCCTTTGTTTCGATCTATTTCCCAGTGTGCAAATCAATGCCGCGGAGATGTCACAACCGGCCCACGTACAGACAACCTCCCCCTTCGAGTTAGAAAACTTTGCAAATCCAACCTTCCACGTACTATTACCCTCGTTCACTTGATAAAAAAGTAACCGAAAACTTCTCCACTTAAAATCAGCTTGGAAACCTGCTACTCCCTGAGTCACTGGTGTACACCATAATTCTTTTCTCAGAAATCGTTGCGACGCCAGACTCTATCACTGACTGCAATCTGCATTTCAGGGCTGCAACCATAATCCTGTCGCTGGCTGTGGGCTGGATATCCATCCGAAAATGCGCTGATCTTCGCTCAGTTCCAAAACGGGTGCAGTGAGGAAATCAAAACTAGGTGGAAAATAACCAGGCAACGGATCGTGGCCCCTGGGCAAGTTGTGGCGGTTCTTTCCCGGGGAGACAAGCCGTGCTCGCCTGAGAAGTGCCGCAGAGATGGGGGGGGGGGGGGGGGGGGGGCTAAATCGGGCCGAACACGATGGAATGCCACATAGTAGTGCCAGCTTTGACAGCACTTCAGCTCGTGTTGGAACTAAAACGAGCCCCCGTCCGATATCCATCATATCATTAAAGCCTGCGCCAGCTTTGTCCGTAGCTCGCCTTCCTCGCTGTGCGTGAGAAACTCGGCTATCCAGCAATGCCAATAAGCCAATAAGTTAGCCTGTTGCAGCACAAAGGAAGTGCACAAGCATCTTCCAAGCTTTCCTCCCTCCCAGTAACTTAACCGAGAGCAAGAGAGAGATTGTGTGTGTGTGAGTGTGTGAATGTGTGCGTGGGTATGTGTGTCTGCCTGTCAGAGAAGAATAGCCCCACTTTCATTGGCCTATTGACCCACTTCAGCATGCTTGCATTTCATGAAGCCCCTAAAAATAAAACTCTCATGCTAAAACGCATGTAATTCTAACGCCACTTCGGTGCTTTCTTCCCCTCACATCGCAAGTCTTTCTCTTGTCGCACTGAGATGTTTTTTGGATTTTCCTTGAGGTTGGTTGAGAGGTGCCTTTGTGCCCAAAAGAATGTCATTTTCCTTTTGGCACTGGTTTCTCACTTGTGTCCAAAACCCACTCAGTTGTATTTATATAGACGTTGGTGTCATATGTTCATATTTAGTAGATTATATATAGTTGCCTACACTTTGTATTTTGTGGTATCAATTTTTTTTTTTCTTAAGTTTTAGAAAACACATGAAAAATATCACTGTGACAAATCAAAAATATTTAAAAAAAAAAAAAAATTAAAGTTGAGAGATTTAAACCAACATAATTCCTACCAAGATATTAGTGGCATTAGTATTGAAATAAAACTTTTTAAATCAAACCATCAAAACCAAAAAAGTACATACAAACATCATAGTTTGGTGATACAATATCAATCGTCACAATCTTAGTTTAAAATAAATAAATAATATATATGTATAAATATATAAATATATAAATATATTAGTTACATTATAGATGTCATGTTATTGACATAAAGTAGATATTAATTATATTTAATAATGGCATCCAAATATCAGATATCTTTAATATTCTTTGCATATGAATATCAACCAATGCATAATGTTTTTGAAACAATATTCTTTTCACATCTTTTTTCTATCATATTAAATGCAATATTCAATTGAATATGGTATTTAGAAAACTTGACAAGAATAAATTTTAAATATATTATAAACCATGAATAATATCTCTTAGACATGTTAAATTGTTGTTTAACTTTGATGGCTAAGAAAAAATATTTGATAACTAAGGTGTTGTCCTAAATAGCATAGATTGGAATTGAATTAAAATATTTTTAATATGATGCACATTAAGGTACTTTCTAATAATATTAAGTTCAAAACCAAATTACTAACTAGAAGTAGAACAATGTTTGATATGTCCATTAGAGGTAATATTCTATTTATTTTCATAATGTTACATTGCATAATACTCTACAACTATAGGGTTTCCTCTCTAAAATAATTTATAGTCTCTTATGCCACATCCAATACTTAAATTAATATTAGATATTTTTTCTTGTGTTACTTCTATGTACTCCTTTAGATCATCCAACAAAAACTACACTCAAATTAAACTTTTGGTATTAAGGATGGTAACTTAAGGCTTTGGCACTCTTCTACTTAACTACTCATGCATTTGCTATGACATTTTTGTTCACTTGCCTATTAAGGTTACAAAATGTGACCTTTTTAGAAGTAACAATTTATTTTGTGTTGTTTTAAAGATAATTTTATTACTAAAAAAATTAATTGATAAATATGTTTAAAAAAAAAATATTTTTGTACAATCTACTTATTTGCATTGCATTCAATATAAACTTATTTATTTATTTATTTATTTTTGAATGAAATACATCAAACATTCTTCTATCGAAAGTAGTCAATCATGTTTCACTTTGAAGACTAGCATGATCATGGTTTTTGGCACAACAGTAAAAGATGAACACATGAATTGGCAAAATAGAAGTTCCTGTTTGTTCTTGTTCCTTTTCTTTTCTGTATAATATGTCTTTTACTGTTTGCCATTTCTTTCTTGTACTTATTTTTCATTTTCCTCCTCCTTCAGTTTTTTAGGGCTTGAATTTCGTCGCTTGTTGATTGCTAGGCTGTAAGCAGAATAATACAACTCTGCCAGGCAGGCGCAGAAGCTCCGTCCTCACTCAGCGTCCCCTATTTATGAACGGAGGACGGCAACGGAGACAATTCACTTCAGTTCTGTCATCAATCTAGATTCACAACACACATGAGAAAAAAACAACACATAAAAAACCCATGAAAACACAAATCAACCGAAGCCTCGCACACAGACACTGCCTCCGCCATGGCGCGCTCGTTCGTTCGTTCGTTCTTTCATTCTCCGCACCTCTTCTCCTCCATCGGAGTGAGTTTGTCAGCTCCTGGCGCTTGATGGCAGTGACGCTGCGCCTCCCTCTGGTTCACTGGGACGGACGAATGGAATGAGGGAATGAATGCCACAGGCATTACTGCAGCTCTCGTCACCACCTCTGTGGTTGAATGCTTGTTGGGTTTTGGGTTCTATCTTGGGCCGAAGTTAGGGTTTGCCTCTTTTAGCAAAACCCCGTTTGCTCATTCACGGCCATTCATAAAAACCCAGAAAAGGAGAGAAAACTCTTGAGAATGTTTTAGAGAAAGAGAGACAATAGTAGCTAGAAGTAATATGCACACATATGTAAACACACATACACACAAGAAGTGAGTTTATTGATAGGATTATTTCTTTTATACAAAGAAAAGGGGAGAAGATAAATAGTGTCTTCCCACTACATTCCAAGCATTGTAGCTATAGTAAATACTATAGACTATAGTAAATAGTATGGAAAGCATGGCTACATTTAATGCTCTCAACACTCTTTCTTGCTTGTCATAATATTTATATGTATAGAATTATGATCTATACTTTTCCATAATCTCATAAGATCAACAACTGCTGCTTCATGAAAACCTTATCTACAAAAATCTTTTTATATTTAAGGACAAAACTATAGATGAAAGAAAAAGAGGACAACATTATCTCAAGAATTCATTAACTTTCTTGCTTTAGAAAAGCAAGTTTGCATATGCCAATGCCATAAGTAAGTTGGTAATGGTTGCACAAAGGAAGAGTTTTGGTGAGGAGATTAGCAAGGTTATTTGCATATTCAATTATCTTGATCTTAAGTACTTGATCAGTAACCAAGTCATGGATATAACTAAAATACTTTGGATCAATATGCTTTATCATGTCCCCTTTAATGAAACCAATTTGCATTTGTGCAACACAAGCGCTATTATCTTCATACAAGATAGTTGGAGAATCATCATATGAAAATCCACATGTTGTTTGAATGAGTTTATTAATTGATCACAACCAAATATATTCTTCAGATGCTTCATTTAAGGCAATAATTTTTGCATGGTTGGATGAAGTTACAGTTATAGTTTGTTTCATTGATTTCCAAGATATTGCAGCTCCATGTCTTAAGAATACATAGCTTGTTTGAGATTTAGCTATTGCAATATCAGATTTATATTTTATATCAGAATATCCAACAAATTTGGATCTACAAATCATGTGTAGTATAATCCCAAATCTTCAATATCTTTTAAATAATGTAGTAAATTTTTAATACCATTTCAATGTCATAGTGTTGAATAAGCATTGTGTCTTGCAAGAATATTAATTAGAAATACAATATCTAGTTTGGTAGATGTGGCTAAATATAAAAGTGCTCCAATCATTGCAAGATATAGATATTGCTCTTCTAATATTTCTTTCTCTTCTTTGCACGGACGGTATGGTTCATGGCCATCACGACCATGTCCAACCATTGGTGTGGATAATGGATAAGCATCAATCATATTAAATCTCCATAAGATTCGTCTAATATAAATTAGTTGATAGAAAAAAATGCTACCAACTGTGAGATGCATAATCTGAAGACCAATGTAGAAAGTTGTTTTTTTTAGTATTTTCATCTCAAATTCACGTATAAATAGGTTAGTAGCTACAATGCATATAGATCTAGTACCCACTAGGTTAAGATCATCAATATATACAATGATGATCACAAAATCAATTTTATCTCATTTGATTAATAAATAAGGGATTAGCGGATCACTTACAAACTTATTTATAATTAAATAATCTCAGAGACATTGATACTACATGCGTTCAAATTGTTTTAGACTATACAGGGCCTTGTGTA